TGAAGGCCCTGTAACTGCTGAGTGTAGGTGCTGTCAACATCCAACCATTTTCACTGCCACATCACCTAAAAGGTAATTGTCAATCCAAATGTCAATCTATTTTTTAAGATTTAAAAATATTAAAAACTCTTGTGTATTTTCATGAATTACCACAGCCTTAAATCCACACCATTATTAAACTGCTTTATGATGTAACTTATGAAATAAATTATATCATACCTTCCTTAATTGCATTAATTTTCTAAGGATAACACTAAACCAACAATAATACTCTTATACTGATATTTCAAAATACCAATCCAAAAAAGATAGCCAACCTTGTTTTTCATCTGGAAATTTAATTTAACCAGTTAAGTACCCATGGTATTTTCCAGGTTACTTAACAATATTAAATTAGACACATGTACTGACTAAATGTTAAAACTAAAAATCACAGGTCAAATGGAGCTAGGCTGAAATAGAAAACTACAAAACTTCTTTATTAGAGTACCTAACATTTTTTTCAAATCTACAGATCACTTGTTGCTTTGCTTAGGCAAGTTATTTTTAAAAAAAACTTTGCCCTAGCCAAGTTTGGCTCGGTGGATAGAGCGTCGGCCTGCAGACTAAAGGGTCCCAGGTTCGATTCTGGTCAAGGGCATGTACCTTGGTTGCGGGCACATCCCCAGTAGGGGGTGTGCAGGAGGCAGCTGATCGATGTTTCTCTCTCATCGATGTTTCTAACTATCTCTCTCCCTTCCTCCCTGTAAAAAATCAATAAAATATATTTTAAAAAAACAAAAAACAAAAAAACTTTATGTGAAACAGGTAGAACTCACACACACTGCCAGTGGGTGTGTAAACTGGTATAACCACTTGAAACAATGCTGGCAGTATCTACTAAAACTGAATATATGCATATACAGTGGCCCCATAATTCTTTTCTAGATATATAGCCAGCAAAAATGGACAAATATGCTCATCAAATGACATGACTGAACTAAGAATGTTCACAGCGGCAGCATTTGCAATAGGCCCAAACTGGAAACTATTAAAATTCTCATTACATAGTAGATAGAAAAAGGAATCGTTTTATAGATCATGAATGATCTACAATTACACACAACAATGCAGATGAATCTTATAAACAATGTTGAGTGAACGGGGTGAGTCACAAAAGAATACATACTGTTAGATTTCTGCTAAAACCAAGATAGTGGTTGCCCTTGGGGGAGGAGGACATGAGGAGGACTTCTACAATGCTGGTAATGTTCTGTTTATTGACTACAGATGTATTTACTTTGTGATATTTCAGCTACTTGAACACTTACATGCACTTTTATGTATATTATACTTCAGTGTAATTAAATTAACTTATTTTTCCTGATTATCAAAGTTATATAGTGCTCACAGTAAAAAAATTAAACATTTTGAAGAAATAAAGAAAAAATATTTCCCATAATCATATCACACACATAAATGAACATTATTAATATATTGATGTATATCCTACTAGGCTTTTATATCTATCAGTACAGATATTTATGAATTCATGTGAAAAGATAACCTAAAAAGACATGTACTCAAATACTGATGATCATTTTAAAAATTGTTATATATAGTTCCATGTAGCACCATAATATGGGATATTTTACATGCTGCTCTGTAAAGTTTAATATAACACAGACACCTTTCCATAGCCATAAATATAAATCTACCATACTATTTTAATTTCTATATAATCATACATGGAGGTTATCAATGTATTTATATAATACTCTACTAATGGGCACTTACATTTAGTTCCATTTTTCATTAATATTAAATCTCTAATTAATGTACTTGCACACACATGTTTGTTCCTGTCCAATTACTTCCTCATTATAAAGTTCTACAAATGGAATTATTGGCTTGATATACATATTGCCAAATTTCTTTCCAGAAAATTTGTAGCAATTTCTTTTTCCACCAGCAGCATTATAATCACAACTCTAATTATGACCAATTTTAAAAAATTCTTTGCCGAAACCGGTTTGGCTCAGTGGATAGAGCGTCGGCCTGCGGACTGAAGGGTCCCGGGTTCGATTCCGGTCAGGGGCATGTACGTTGGTTGCGGGCACACCCCCAGTAGGAGATGTGCAGGAGGCAGCTGGTCGATGTTTCTCTCTCATCGATGTTTCTAGCTCTCTGTCCCTCTCTCTTCCATTCTGTAAAAAATCAATAAAATATATTTAAAAAAAAAAAATTCTTTGTCCACTTGAGAAGCAAATAATGATTCCTATTTTTTGATTTTGCAATTCTGATAACTAGTGAGGCTGAACATTTTTTTATGATTTCACTCCATTTCTTCCTTTTGTAAGTACACTTTTAATATACTTGTAGTTTATAATACAAATCCTATCTAATAATAGACAAACATGGTAATTGACCCTACCTTCGATACGCCTCCCATGGGCTAATCAGCATGATATGCAAATTAACCGCCAACAAAGATGGCAGCTAATTTGCATACTGTAGGCAGGGACGTCCCGTGTGCGACTCGACCCAGGGCGGCGGGACAGCATGGCTCCTGTCACCCCAGCTTCCTCATCACAGCTCCCTTGGGGGCCTAAGCCTTTAGTCGGACATCCCCCAAGGGCTCCCTGGCTGCCAGAAGGATGTCTGACTGCAAGCTTAGGTCTGATCCCCCGGGGAGTGGGCCTAAGTCGACAGGTGGACATCCCCAAGGGGTCCTGGACTGCAAATGGGCGCAGGCCGGGCTGAGGTACAACCCCCCACCCCCGAGTGCACAAATTTTTGTGCACCGGGCCTCTAGTAAAAGTACAAGCAGAAAAATTATCAAAGAAAAAAACATCTTGGGGATTAGCTCCCCTGGAGAATCATCTTTTTTTTTTTTTTAATACATTTTTATTGATTTCACTGAGGAAGGGAGAGGGAGAGAAACATCAATGAGAGTGAATCATGGATCAGCTGTCTCCTGCACGCCCCACACTGGGGATCGAGCCCACAACCTGGGCATATGCCCAGACTGGGAATCAAACCATGACCTCAACCACTGAGCCACGCCAGCCAGGTGAGAATCATCATCTTTAAAAACTGTAACTAAGCCCAGCTGGTGTGGCTCAGGAGGTCAAGGTTCGATTCCTGGTCAGGGCACATGCCCAGGTTGTGGGCTCGATTCCTGGTGGGGGGCATGCAGGAGGCAGCTAATCCATGATTCTCTCTCATCATTGATGTTTCTCTCTCTCTCTTCCTCTTCCTTTCTTCTCTGAAATCAATAAAAATACATTTTAAAACCTGTAGCTAATATAATGATAGGAGACCTGATGGCTATGAATCCAGTTTTTATTTTCCGTAATTTTTGTTAGAAATCTTTAATAACTCTTGGATATGATAAAAAAAAGTTTGATGATACAAAAAGTGAATACTCCCTTTGATTTTTAAAAAATAAAAGTTATTAGATATTTCCTATTATTATAACTTGTGACAAGGTCACCATACTATATACATACCATGCCACTTCCCCTTGTAGACTGTCCCAAATGACCCGGAACCAATTCTTTGTCCTACTGTGATCTGCCCATCAGGAATCTCCCAATCGTCACTTGAATCCCGTCTACCAAGTGTTTTCTTGATAAAAATAGTGCAAAAGTCAATCCAAAGCAAACAAAAAAAGGGAAAACCTTGTTTCACACTAAGTACATTCTCCCCTGTGTCTGAGTGTGAAAGGGACATTAAACATACATACACACACACACTCTGGAAGAATAATAGAAGTATGATTCTTATAATACAGAACTTAAATTGAAGAACTAAGTCAGTTCTTCAAGGCTACTAACAGGCAATATAAGTATCTGTGACTAGTTTTGGCTCCAAAGGCCAAAATTTTAAATTAATATACTATGATTACTGTTGATAATTTACCTCCTTACTTTCTTCTAGTCAGTGCTAAATTTCCTCAGATATCTTATCTGATCCAGTCTCTTAAAAAACTGTCAATATATACAATCACTTTGGTAGGGTAAAGAATCCACCTATCCAACATATACTATTACTACACTAATGCTAATATTAAATTGTTAGTTTTTAATATGTATTTATTGTGCAGCAGAAAGTTATTTTTTCAAATAGGAAAGAATATCATTTGGTAAATATTTGAATTTCAGATAAGCCCTTTAACAGCGGTCGCCACTGGTGGTCCATGAGGTCCAAAAGGTTGGCGACCGCTGCTTTAGAACATATATGCCTAATAATGCTTCCTAAAATACTAGGCTTACCCCTTTTTCCTTATTTTAAAAAGAGAACACTACAGTTGACCCTCAAATATGGGGAGCTTAAGGGTGCTGACTCCCAGAGCAGTGGAAAATTGGTGTATAGTGCTCCCTTCGGCAGCACATATACTAAAAAACTGGAACCATACAGAGAAGATTAGGATGCACAAGGATGACACGCAAATTCGTGAAGCGTTCCATATTAAAAAAAGAAAAGAAAATTAGTGTATAACTTTTGATTTCTCCCAAAACTTCACTATAATGGTCTCTTGGTATCTGTTGGGGATTGGTTCCAGGACCAATACTGCTTTCAATCCTTGGTCCAGTGAATCACAGATGCAAAACCTGGGAATATGGAGGGCCAACTGTCTATTTACTGAAAAAACACACACACCAGCATGTAAGTAGATCCATGCAATACAAATTCTTGTTATTCAATGGTCAACTGTATTCTTACTCTTTTGAAACAACCTTTAACTTAATTGCATTAGAGTTGAGAGCATAAATCTGTGTTGTACAAATGTGCTTTAAGCAAACAATTATCAGCTCTTAATTTTATTTGATTATGGGAATTTTGTGTCACATATGGACATATCATTATATCTAAAGGTGACATTAGATTTGGCTCTGACTTCTATAGAGAACACAGAAGAATAAAGATATCATATACTTTTACCATTCGATTCCTGTCTTCTGAGGATGAAGATGATTTTCTTTCCCGCTGAGGTCCTGGAGATTTCTGTAATGCTTTCACATTAGTGAGTGAGCCAGGTAATGAGGCAGGGGGGGTGGCAGATAAACCTGTAGTTGACCCTAAGTTAGTGAAAGGAAAAATGTATCCATTAAAGGAAGATCAAGTATGTTAATTTATTTATTGGGGGCAGAGGGTGTGGGGAGATTTAGACTTATTTAAAAAATACAGTGCATGTTCAAGTATAGAACTTTTAGAAAGGATAGGCCAAAAAGGGGCCTCATTTGGTAATTAGTACTATAATTTCTTTTAGTTTTCTGGCCAATTTAATGACCCTTGAAACATCTGATTACAGATATACACTTTGCTTATTGGTGCATTTTCTAAGAAGAATCTCTCTAAAATAAGAGATAAATACTAAACAATATTCCCAAGGTTCTTTTTCTTTGACTTAAAAAATCAAAAAAGCAAAATCAATTTAACAGCCTATATTAAAAAAACAACAACTTTATTTTGTTGCTTCAGCAAACAAATATAAATCAATATAAAAAATATAATATAAAAAAAGATGGAAATCCCCAAATGGAAACATATTCTAATAATGGCCACAATGTTGAAAATATTTGGCTTCTTCATATTAGCCACTACATTGAAGAAAAAAAAATCCTACACCACATACTAGACTACTTAAGAGTGAGAGACACTGGTCAGTTTCATCAGTTCCTGAAGGCTTAGTCTAGTAAACAAATATGATTTGTTGCCTGTATACAACAAAGCCAGCGGTTTCTCAAGCCTCTCTGAATAATCCCTGACTGCCTTTATAAGTGAGAGCAAAGTAAGTGATATGGCATCTCAACCAAGTTACTACAAACGGAAATATTCTATCAGTCAACTGAGTCCACTGGGTGTATTCTTTGAAAGTGGACTCAGTTGGCAGGGTTGCATACTTTCTGATGGGTACTTTTCCAAGTGCTGGCTCAGTGGCAATAATTCTAAGTTCATGTACAGTACCTTGTTCAGAGTAGTTCAGGACAATGACTCCTAGTAGGGCCTGAGTACAGTTAAGTAGGACTGAGATATCAAAAAATATTTGCACATACAGAACAAAAAGACTTCAAGAGAATTTAAAAAAAATATTACTATTCTTTGGAAAGGGGCAGTCACTATCTTTCAAACAGGGATACCAATGGCAACATTTAAATCTGTGTAGAAATTTTATCATTATTACATCACAGGTTACCATGTGAAATTTCCATAATCTCATCTGTAAATTTCTAAAAGAAAATGGAATGTCTATTAACTGGAGCACAATCCATTTTCTACCTTCTATTGATAATTTTCAACATCATAAAGCCTTAACTGTTTGCCCAGGCCTCCCAGTTCTGATCTACTTAGTACTGTACTGATATTATTAAATTACGCCACTTGGTCCTGTATGACTTCCAGCCCATTCTATGGATTTTCTGAGAAACAGCTGGACTGAGAGCAAAAATCTGAAACACCACCACTATGTTCAGAATAACTGGCAGACACTAGCAAAAGCCAGTAAATTCTTTAAAACTATTTATAGCAAACTCCTGCCTCAATTTTGACTTTATTTTAAAAAATCAGTTTAACTACTAATTAAAGTTATGGCAAAATAAAATGGGAGATTGAAATTATACTGCTTTTTTCTCAGATTAAGGCATAGCTGAAAGTATCAATCTTCAAATTTCCTGAAGTATGCCAAAATATCCCAAATACATTAAAAATATTTTCAAAGCTCCCTACCTCTGATATAATATAAAATATACATGTCCTACATTTAAAAAAGGACACTGCTGATAATACAGAAAAAATAAAGGCAAAAGTCTAGTAAAATCTCATAATAGGGATTTCCATTTCCATTTTTACTTTTTTAGAAACCAAAAAAATTGATAACAAGTATTAACAGTCATCAAGGTGACCACGTAAATAGATTAAAATAAAAGGAATTCAAGTAGGACACCCCCTCCCATGTTATTTATTGCCACCCACTGAGTTTAAGAAGTTACCAAGACCAAAAAGTAATGCAACAAAAAACATGATGGAAATCTAAGACTTTTCTTGCTTTTAAAATTTATGACAGAAAGCTTGTGGTAGTGAGTATGTGTGACAAGCACATTCAGAGCATTCCAGCCAGGCCAAGCAGAAATTTAGTACTGAAAACTCTCACACTTACAAACACACGCTGTGAAGGTGAGGCACAAACAGTAGCTGTAGTTTATATTTAGTTTGCTTTGGGTGAAAACAAGAAAGAAGAGCCCAACTACCTCTGAACACTGGGCCAGGCTCAAAATCAAACACTATTTCACTGGGGACAGAATGTAGGAGGGGACTGGGAGTCCGGGATTGGTATTTCCGAAGACAGCGCATCAGCTGGTTCAAAGGGGCTGTTAGAAGAGAAAGAGAGGGGCAGGCAAACACAGGAAGACAGACACACAGAAGAAATGAAAGAAGTCATGGGGAATAAATAAGATGAGTCGAAGCCTGCTTCACAAAATAATTCTGGATGTTTAAAACACTGTTTTCAAAATCCCAATGATTTTTTAAAAAATGACTCATAAGAAAGGACAAGAGATGCCACTTCATTTTAGATACTAAGCAGGCAGTTTTTAAGACTAAGTTAACTTTGTGATGCTAAAATGATGGCAACATTTAAATGCTGGATGTATTGGGCAAAATTTTCAAAAGCCACAGCTACTAAGACATATGAAAGTCAAACTGGCAGCAACATTAATTGGAGGGCTCATGGAATAACAAACAGAAAAAACACTTTTATAACTATATACTATAGTAAATATGAAGTCTAGAGTATTTAATGCAGGGTTATTACTTTGGTAGCTTCACAGGTACACAGAAACACAACAAAAGATGGTTTATACAATGTTCAATATAAAATATCTTTGAGACTGGGCTTAGACATTTTGAAGACAAAGCAGGTCACAGTGAAGAGACCAACTCTAACCAAGGTAAGTAGTATTGCAGGCCTTCCTTATTAGATAGAAGACAGCTGAAAAAGTAAATATGGAGAATCATCTAGAAGAAAACTTTAAGACAGTTTCAAATACCATCTCTTGGTAAAACATTATGTGGGGGTAAATTCTTATTTAAATTGTGCAATTTTTAAGAATTTTCTTATGCAATGTTTTCTTATGCTCCCTATTTTTACTGGGTGCTAGAGTGAAAAGTCAGATAAAAATTCTATAAGAAATCTCAATTTAATTTCTCATTTGCTTATTTTATTTACCGGACAAAAAAAGGGCAACTGGGCTTCTTTATTAGGGATCCATTATGTAAGATGTACATTTCAAACCCTTTTAGAAGACTGAGGGAAATAGTTGACAATATCTATCAAATTGAGAAGTTGTAACAGGCAATCCAAGGGATTCTCCAAGAATGATTTTAAAAAATCATGTTTTAATTGATTCTAAGCTTAATATTTAAATATTGGTGGAGGTTTCCAAAAGAAATTTTGCATCTCCAGCTTTGGAGAGGGTTTGGAATCAATAAAGTGGGTAAAATAACTAAGAATCTCTCCTTGACAACCTTTTAAAATCATAGGTAGCACATTTAAGAACCCTTTTAATGTCTTCTTTTTCTCTATTCATGTTATAAATTAGTTAAAATTTTAATAGAGATAAATGATAAATACTAAAGGAAACAAAAAAAATTTGGGTTTTCTCTACACATTTTTCTCTGTGTCTGTGTTTCATGAAAGAAGCAAATATAAAGGAGACAAGCAGCAAAGCAGTTGCATTTTTCCTTGAGTTTTTAAAAACTGAAATCATCACTTACCTCCATCACTACGAAACCCTTGGTCTCTAATCAAGTCCTACAAATAAATAGTAATGTATATTTTATTCAAAGCATGTGGTAAGAAAGTAATAACAACACTGAATTTTCCACTAAGCATAAACAGAAAGGTTAATTTAAAATAACTCTTAAAATTACTTCACAAAACAGAAAAAATATGAAATTAGCTAGTGAAAATGATAAAATCAAAATTTGAAGCAACCTAATCCTATACTGAAGGGATTATTAGTCCTGATTAAATGTTGAAATCCATTTCAGGCCATTCAAAACCAATGGCTGCATCAATTCTTATAAAAATTCTACTGGCACATATTAAGAGCCATAAAATGTTCATACCCTTTGATCCTGTAATTCCACTTCTGGGAATTTTTCCTAAGGAAATAATTCAGAAGAAAAAAATGATATCCACAAAGATGTTTAGTGCAGCATTATTCACCATACTAAAAAATCAGAAATAATTATTTCCCTCTTCTAGGCTGATTGACATATTGGCTAAGTAAATTATGGTGTATAAATTTAATGAGTATTATGCAGCTACTAAAATAATTATAAAGATTGAATCATGAAATGTTTACAATATAATAAAAAACAGAATAAAAAATGTACCCTGATTACAGTAATAAAAATATGATGTGTAAAGACACACTAGACGGACAAAAACAAAAATGACTCAAACAAGAGTTTTGTTAAAATCTGTCATTAAGATGTAGCTTTTTTACAACAGACAATGTTGGGGATGAGGGGAAGAGTCTTCTGCCAACACAATGCAATTTGGATATTAATAGGCAGAACTTAGATTAATGTGTTTGCCCAATATAACTTAAACGTGAGGAATTGAATGGTCCCAAATGTCTCTAAATAGGCTTAGAGGCTCTTTGCAAACAGGCAGCTTTTTGTTTATGGGCAAAAACAAAGAGTAAATTCTTTACGAAAGTATTTCTATCATGTTCAATGTATCCTATAAAGCCTTCAACATTTTCTATAGAATTATCAACAAATACTCATAGATCTGCAAACAAGGTGCTAGGTGTTGTGTGGCTACCAATAAATATAAAATCCTGGGGGGGGGGGGGTCTCACTAACTTTCTATGTAAAGGTACTTTCATACTTTTGCATATACTATTTCCTTAACAAATGCCCTTTCTTCCTAAAACCCCAACTAGTATATTTAATGAACTCCTACTCTTTCATCTTTTACAACCTGGCTTAAATGTTGTTCATATCTGCCAAATATTCCTAGATCCAACCAGGTAGAGTTTATTACCCTCTTCAATAAACTATCATTATATATTTTTTGTGATTATTTATTTTTACATGATTCATACATTAGATTATGACTTTGTTGAGGGCAAAGATTGTGTGCTAAGTCATCCTTAATTCCGAATTCTGACACAGTGTCTATCCCAGAGTCAATATTAAGTCTTGTTTACTGGAAAAATAAATGGTAAATAACAACTGAAACTGAGTGAAATGATTGACACTGAACGAAAATGCTAAAGGGTTTACATTTCATCTTGAAATCAATGGGAAGTCAATGACAGTTTTGGAACAAGGGAAGAGATAATGATAAAGGTGTTGTAAAAAATTAATATGGTGGTAGCATAAAGAATGGAATGGAGAGAGAGAAATCAATGGCAGGAAATCCATTTAGGAGAGTAATGTAGTAAAGTAAGCAGTTCAAATGAAATATAAATATGGGTCCAAATGGTGGTGGCAATAAGAACAAATCTTGGATGCATATCAAAAGGAAAAGGTAATAGATTATGACTATTTAATTATAGGGGAGGATGAAAATGCAAGATATAAGGATGACACTCCAAATGCTTAAGCCTAAGAGAACAGAATAGTGGTGACAATAAGAGATAAAGCAAAATAGCTTAAACCAGCGATTTTCAACCAGTGTGTTGCAAGAATTTTTAAAATATGCTATACCTGCCCTAGCTGGTATTGGCTCAGTGAATAGAGCGTCAGCCTGCGCACTGAAGGGTCTCATGTTCGATTCTCATCAAGGGCACATGCCTGGGTTGTGCGTTGAATCCCCAGTAGGGGGCATGCAGGAGGCAGCCAATTAATGATTCTCTCTCATCACTGATGTTTCTATCTCTCTCTCTCCCAAATCAATTAAAATAAATAAATAAAATAAAACATGCTACAAATGATTAATCAGAAATACTGACCTCTTTCCCTTAGATCAGTGGTTCTCAACCTTCCTAATGCCGCGACCCTTTAACACAGTTCCTCATGTTGTGGTAACTCCCAACCATAAAATTATTTTCGTTGCTACTTCATAACTGTAATTTTGCTAGTTATGAATTGTAATGTAAATATCTGATATGCAGGATGTATTTTCATTGTTACAAATTGAACATAATTAAAGCATAGTGATTAATCACAAAAACAATATGTAATTATCTATGTGTTTTCCGATGGTCTTAGGCGACCCCTGTGAAAGGGTGGTTCGACCCCCAAAGGAGTCGCGACCCACAGGTTGAGAACCACTGCCTTAGATTGTCAAATGAAAAAGATAACAACAGCAACACAATAGCCATCTGGTATGAATGAATAAAAATTATACCTATATTTTTGTCAGATCAGCAAAAAAATGTATTTTTTTTGGTGTGCCATAGATTTTTAGTAATTAGCTTATGAGTGTCATGAGGTGGAAAAGATTGAAAATCGCTGGTCTAAAGAATGTTTGTTTTGAAAGTAAAGATGAAGGTTACAATTTTGAGTTTCTGAGAACAGACATAACCTAGAAATAAGATTAGTTTTCTTATTTCATTATCTGTTTATTCCCATATTCCCTTCTCCTACATCTTTCTTCCTTTGTATTCAAATCTAACTAGATCGAGGAAAACCTTATTAATTGAGAAAATTAGTATTAGGAAAAGGTCACTTAAAATGAATCCAATAAAAATACAGAAAAAAATTCACAGTAAAAAGTGAGAAGAAAGTCTGATTTGGGAATTTTTCTTTAAAAATAAAATTAAAATTTATAATAAGGTTTATTTCTTTTACATTAAGTTATAATTTCAAAAATATGCTAATTCTTAGAATAAATACAGAAAGAATAAAGTTTTTATTGGTCATAATATCAAACTTATATGGTAGCACAAATTGAAATTCTTAATTTCAAGTTCATCTTTTACACCACAATAATAGTCATTTTAATAAAACTTTTAGCCTGATCAGTGTGGGTCAGTGGTTGAGTGCTGACCTATGAACCAGGAGGTCTCAGTTAGATTCCCCATCAGGACACATGCCCGGATTTCGGCCTCAATCACCAGTAGGGGGTGTGCAGGAGGCAGCCGATAGATGATTCTTTCATCACTGATGTTTCTATCTCTCTCTCCTCCTTTCCTCTCTGAAATCAATAAAAATATATTTAAAAATAATTTTAGGGGACTCTACCCTTCAAAGGCCTCTTTCTTTTTTTAATTTAAATTCTTTATTGTTTAAAGTATTACACAAGTCTCCTTTTTCCCCCATTGACCTCTCCCAGGCTGCTACCAGCCCCCAGCACATACCCTCACCCCCCTACTGTCTTGTGTTCATTGGTTATGCTCATATGCATGCATACAAGTCCTTTGGTTGATCTTTTACCTACCCCCACCCCCATCGTCTTCTATCTCCTCACCCCACAAGGGCCTCTTTCAATCCTTTGATATTTAATATGTATATTTTTTATTGATTTCAGAGAGAAAGAAGAGGGAAAGATAGAAACGTCAATGATGAGAGAGAATCACTGATCAGCTGCCTCCTGCACGCCCCCTACTGGGGATTGAGCCTGAACCCAAGCATGTGCCCTTGACTAGAATCGAACCTGAAACCCTTCAAGTCCACAGGCCGACGCTCTAGCCACTGAGCCAAACCAGATAGGGCAATCCTTTGATATTGAAATAATTTTCATTTGAAGAGCCTATTATATTGTCATCCTTATGAATTTTGTGTTTTCTGTTATTACCTAGACTGACTTAATTCTATGTATTTGTCAATGGCTTTATATGATTTGAGTAGTTCTCCAGTCACTTTTTACAGTGTTCATAAAATCCTTAAAATCTTTTTTTGTGTGTGTGCCAGATTTGAAATAAGTTTGCATTATGTTTTCATTGAAATGTTGGATATTAATGTAAAGGGGTTGGGACGCAGGCTGATATTAAATGGCAAGGGATGTTTGAGTGGAAACTAATATGTTTTCCTGTTAAGACAATTTTTGCTTCTCTATTCCACCTTGTAATTATGAGGACTCACATAAGGAATGCCTGTATAATGAGAACAACCTGACTTCTAACACATATAACCACCTCATTAACTCCAGGACCCTGCTTACACAGTTTCAATTTCCTTTTTAAATATATATAATTACTTTCCAAAGCAAAAAACAAAACACCTTGTGGATTTTGTTTTGTTATTGATTACAGACAGAGATTAAGGATAATCTATCCTCTTTATTCTAAAGCACAAGTTCTGAAGAACATAATATCTAATTCCAAGATTATTCCAAGGGTCCCAGCCCAACACAGCTCAGACGGCAAGGGCACTTTTATCCTCTTCTGTGTAACTCAGTTATTGGGATGACCAATTAAATGAACCAGTCCTGTTGGACTGATCCTGTGTGCTTCATCTTTTTTCTCTCCTCTTCCTCTCTTTGTCTATATCAGGGACTGGCAAAATACAATGAACTGGCCACCTATTCTTATAAATAAAATTTTAGTGGAATACAGCCACATCCATTTGTTTATAATGCATTGTCTATGGCTGCTTTCACACTACAATGGCAGAGTTCAATAGCTGTCATTAAAAATCACATGGCCCACAGCCTAAAATATTTACTATCTGGCCCTTTAAGGAAAAGTTTGTTGACCTCCTGATCTATATTATAGGGAATTTCCTCTGCCTTATTTTCTAATTCTTTTATTGAAACAAATATTTTTTGATGATTTATTATGTATTTAGTTCTAAGATAGGTGCCAAAGGAGCTATATTAGGAATGGTTTCTGCTATCCAGAAGTTAAGGTCTAATTGAAGAATTGACACTAATGTACATAATTAAATTACAGTGTGCAAGATAAACTAGGAAAGTAAAAATGTCAAGAGTGACCAGCCAGAAGGTGGTCAAAATAACTGAAGAGGTGAGGTTACAATATATGATGATGAAACCAGAGAAGATGCATTTTAAACAATGAATGATGAAAACTTAATGACAAACTTTACATTAAAAAAATATGCCCAAATCAAGATGTGTATAGAAACAGAATACAATGGTATACTCAATAAAGTAAAAAAGATAAGGTAGCTTTACATGTAAAATACATAAACCAATGATTAGTCCTTAGGGTTATTTAACACAAAGTTATAGAAATTTAGGTAAATATTTCAAATTGATTTAATGAAAAAACCTACAACTGTATTCTTATTTTTTCTTTATCATAAAATGGCCAAGTGGATTATCTGTTAAATAAATGAAAATAGGACTGTTGGTGTCTTAAGGGGGAAAAAATCAGAATAAGCCTGTAACTTGGTACCAGTTAAGCATTTAATGCCATCAGAGAAGATGGCAAGGCTTTTCTGATCTATATTTCATAAAAGTCTATCACTTATAACTGTGATTAATGAAAGATGATACTTATTTCTGATTTATATTAGAACTGTAGCAGAAAAATAAATACACTTGAATTTTTTAGTTCTAACAATGCTGGATACTTACATCAATATTGACAGGTTCTATTGTGTTTATATGCACATTTGGAGCCGATGAGGACCGATCTCGTTGTCCAAACTGATTTCGATGATCTTCATCTGCTGGTCGGAAAGGCTGTGGAATTGGAATGGATTTTGAAGGAGACGGACTGGTGAGCATTTGGGGCCTGGAAAAATCAAGTCATTTGAAGATAAGATTCAGAGCAACTTTATAGAGATAATAACATTAAAAAATGGATAATATAAAGATTTCCTTGTTTTCATATTCTCAAATAAAATTGTTAAAATAAAGCATTAATAACCCAGCAGGAATGGGTTTTAAAAGTATTAGTTTAAAAAACGAATATGCCTTCAACTATTACCTCCAGGGACTATCAATGATAACATTGATTCTTAGCTAGAAAACTCCAGGGAAACCTACAAATGGCTAGAAATGACCTATGGTTAATCAGCTAAAGAAACTCTTGTCTTTTAAAGTTACACAAGAATGCTCTAGGTCAGGGGTGGGGAACGTCTGGCCCGTGGGGTGGGCCATATAAGGAACAAAAAATTATTTGGTCTGGCCCTGCCAAGACGTTAATTAAATGCTTGACCAAATATAGCAGGTTAATTTTTAAGTTGATAATTTTGTATGGCCCGGGAATGATGTTATAAATATCCAAATGGCCACTGGCAGAAAAACGGTTCCCCACCCCTGCGCTAGGTAGAGACTGAGCGATCAAAATCTGCCTTTTTTCTTTTTTTTTTTTTACCTTTTCCATTCCTTGATAGTTGAAGTTACTAAAATGACATTTTTATGGAAAGTATTAGGCAATTATAAGTATTTTGAGAATATGCATGTGTATTTCAGGACCTGAAAGATATAACTGTTACTCTATCCAAGAGGTGAATTAAGAGAAACCAAGATGGCGGCATAGGAAAACACCGGAAATTGCTGCCTCGCACAACCACTTCAAAAATACAACTAAAAGACAGAACGGTCATCATCCAGAACCACAGGAAGGCTGGCTGAGTGGAAATTCTACAACTAGAAGGAAAGAGAAGAGCACACAGACTCAGAGGAGCTATGAAAGTAAAGTGCAGAGGTACGGAGGCTCTGGCGCGCGGGGAAAGGGGCGGGCACCTGAGGACGCGGCTGTCTTTTTGAATCGGGAGGGAGTCACAAGCTCCCGACTGCTCTGAACTCCGGTTCCGGGAAATCTCTGGGGTCCCAGGGCTCATACGGGGAGAAACTGGACTATCTGGCAGCAGGCAGAACTCGGAACTTGAGGGCGGCTTTCCCTCAGAGGTGCTGGCAGCAATTACCGGGACACTGAGACGCGCAGCCCCTTAGGGCAGGGCTGAGAATCAGCCATAGCTGCTTGCTCCGCCCTGTTGATTCCGAGACCCCGCCCCATCCAGGCTGCTGCAAAGGCTTTTGCATATGAATGCCCGGGTCCTTTGCAAACTGAAAATTACCTAACAAATTGCAGCCGGGCCAGACAGACCCAGAACTTCCAAGAGAAGGCCCAAGGCCCCACAGCAGCTTGCACTGCTTCACAGCTGGGCCTCATCTGGGCACCCCCAAACCCCAAAAAAAGGAAGGGGAATCTGCATATCTCTTTCGTAGCTCCTGCTGGGTAACCTCAGGAAGAGGCTTAATTAACAACTCCTGGTGGATCCAAGAGCCAGTGTACCCAGTGTCAGCGTGGGACCATCCAGATCACAACTTTTCAGATCCATAAGGGACACACTCAGGGGGCAGACTCAGTGAGCACCAAAGCCCCACTGAAGCAAGTCTTGCCCCAGAAGGGTGTCTCCAGCACAGAAGTTCCCCCACTGTAGACACAGCTGATTCTCACAGCCAATTGGCCTGGAGGTCAATTCCTCCCAGTGATACCTACAACAATCAAGGCTTAACTACAACAAGACTGTGCACAAAGCCCCACAAAGGGGTGCACCAAGAGTGTCCTCCTCAGGTAATTGGGGAGGCTGAGCCACTGGGCCCTATAGGACACCTAGCACAGAAAGCCACTCTATCAACACAGGGAAGCATAAAAAATGCGGAGACAAAGAAACAGGACACAAATGACAGAAATGGAGGAAAACAAACTACTGGATATAGAGTTCAAAACCACACTTTTAAGGTTTTTCAAGAACTTTCTAGAAACCACTGATAAATTTAGTAAGACCCTCAAAAAGACTGGTGAGACCGCCGATAAATGTAGTGAGACCCTCAAGAAATCTAGTGAGACTCTCGAGGTTATGAAAAAGGACCAACTAGAAATTAAGCATACACTGACTGAAATAAAGGATATTATGCAAAGTTCCAACAGCAGACTAAAGGATCGCAAGAATCAAGTCAAAGATTTGAAATACAAAGAACGCCCAACAAACACCCAACCGGAAAAACAAAAAGAAAAAAGAATCCAAA